GGGTAGCATGAGCCTTTTAAAGCTTATCAAGGTGCGAGGCCCGGGTCGTGAAGCTCATGCACAGAAAGATGAAGCAGAACAAAATAAGCAACTTTTTTCGTTATATTTTGGTTCTGGAAAATAATAGGTGTGCTTATTTGCCCATTTTTGCAATAACAAAACTCCCCCCAACGGTTTCGTTATTGCAGATTCAACTGTAGTACCATGTGAAATGGCAAAGTTGAATGACGAGGCCACGTTTTTTTTTTTTTAGTTCTGTCGAGGAGTTTTTTGCACTGTGGGACATAAGCAGCAAACTCTATTTAAAAACAAACTTCAAGGCATCAATATGGGAGAAGATTGCCGAAGAAATGTTCGCATGTTTCCCGGCAATTGAGCCGGACACAGTGGGTGAGCGACGTCTTTGTTCAAGCATATATGTGGTTTGTGGCTGCCGACGTTTAAAACACGATCACAACCTCACAAGACGCTTGAATGTAGTCAAATTTGTTGTTTCCATGTTTAGACAGCAGGAACTCAATCTGCTGGGTTCGAGGGGAAGCATTTTGACCAGTGCAGTAAGCTCTTCTGACGTGCACCACACCCTAAAGACTACCTAACCACACGCTGTTACTATACTCATCCAGAACAAACAGCCGGGGGTCGGACTCGAGTTCCGGCAAGTGACGAGAGCGTGCACGCAGATCTATCAGCCGTGGCTTAGGTAGGCCTGCGGTTCTGCAGTGCGAGTTTTTGGTCCAGGTGCTCACACCGGTAACGAATGAGTATCGAGGAGGCATATTTCACTAAAGTTCCGTATTAATTACGAGGTTATAGATTTAATCAAATTGCTAGTGTCGCAGCTTTCACAGAAATAGTGCGGGTTGTGTTCTCCCAGCTCCGACGACTGTTTTTTTTTTATTACTATTATTTATATTGTGCACAGATCTCCTGAAAGGCTTTCTTCAAAATAAAAGAACCACCTACGGAGACGAAGAAAAGAAGATTTTAAAGACAAAAAGTGGCCAGGCAGCTGAAGAAGCGTACAGCGGGAAATGGAAGTTTTTCCCTGCCTTGCGCTTCCTGGATGAAGAGATCATTTGAGCAGGGATAGGTAGCTTCAGCGCCAACTTTGCGGATGTACAACTGGGCAGGGTTAGTGTGCTATATTTTGTTATGCTATCAAAATTTTCCAATCATGCATGACTGTGGTACTGCATAAATGAGAGCAGGAACATTTCACATACTAAAACCAGAGATGAAGGTTCAAATAGATAAACACAAAACATCTCAACTGCAGTGATTACAGTCAACCAATTATTTTTGGACGCTTTATAAGTTTGGTGTGTCAAACAGTAACTATAGTCCGTTGCAACCTAAGAACGAAGGGCGAGGGTAAGACGGGCCGGAAAGGAGGAAGCAGACGGAACGCTGGAGAAGAGAGGGTAAAACCTCCTTCTCTTTAGCGTTCCGTCTGCTTCCTCCTCCCAGGCCCGTATTACCCTCGCCCTCCATTCTTAGGTTGCAACGGACCACAGCTTCCAGCCTTATTACCATGTCTTTGCTGCCTTATACTTTTGTTATTATACCTGTATGCTTAACTGTACCGTGGGGGCACCAGAAAGAAGAAAACCATGAAGGAGGTGTCAAAACAGTTGCAAATTTGCACCTGTATCGAAGTATGTTTTATATCGCAAGCTTCAAAGGCCATTGTTGAAGACACGGCTGCATTTATGGCAGAATCGAGTAGAGGTTTCTAGTGACTGTTGGCATGCAGCTGCAAGATTCTGGCGAGGAGCCCGGAATGTGTGCTCAGCCCTGGACAGAGCCCTGCACCAAGCCCTGGAGCCACCTCTGGGACAGGCCCCTCCTTGGCTGAGAGAATCAGCATCAGCACATTCAGCAAAGAAAAAGGAGGGAGGATGGGGCAGAGCTGTCCCTCACGGAACAAAGGACGACAGTGCTTCCCAGGCTGACAGAGTGCATGGAGGCACCAGCACGAGATGACAGTGCTGCGTTTGGCACGGTGGTGGCCGAGTATTTATAGTCAATGCCTCTGACAGCGAGGGCAATATGCCAGATAGCGGTTCTGTCGGCAATTGCTGCCACGCCTGGATTAAACACATCTCACAGTACACCTCCGCATTTTTTTATTGTATTGCAAGTAATTATTCTGAACTAATACCCATTACATGACATAACCTTGCAATTCTTTCTTAGATCTTTACGTTGAAGTGCAAGTTCTTGCAGATATTACCAGAGCTTGCAGTAAGTTGCAATTTGCAGAGACCGAAATTCACAAGGACGCATGTAATACAGGACTTGGCGCAGTGTTGGTTTAATTAGAGGACGACACGCAATGAGTAATTGCCTATGCCAGTCGGACGCTCTCCAAAGCCAAGAGCAATTATGCAATGACCAAGAAGGAATGCCTTTCCGTTATCTGGGCCACAACCAAACCTTAGCAAAAAAAACAGCATATTAAAAATATAATTCATATATTTCTAGCGCACTATAGGCAAGTAAGAATCTAAATTCCACAAAATTACAATAATAAGATCAGCCCCTTGTTAATCAATATATTTTGGAAATATGCTTAAAGTATGTTCGCTATTAGTGTATATTAATTGCACTCAAAATATGTGTACATAGCTTTAGAGTATTTAAAGTATGTTGTTAGCAGTAATCAGGAATGCATATACTGGGTACTTTAAATATACAGTGGAATGAGGAAGTGCCTCAAGAATATATTTGAAGAGTGCAGAGCCTCTACTCAGAGTGCACTCTATGCTTCTAGGGATACACAAAGGCAACCTTGGGCAGAAAAGAAATTGGCTTAGAAGGGCGAAGAAAGGAATCATAATTGTGTTTTAGTTTCTCGGATAGATGGCGGAAGCTACCGCCCATTATAAAGTGTACAGCCATTAGCCTACCCATTCGACCACTTCGACTAGAGTGTATCCGTGCAGATGGGCCTGTCGTCGATGGCCACGCTCGGTGTTCTGAAGCTCCTTGGTCAGCCCGTTTTGTTTATGTCACCAGCTTTTTGTGAAAGTGCTCAGTTTACATGACGACTGAAATGTGAACGCGCAGCCTTGGCAGTGTCGTAACCTGTGTTTTGAACTGGCACGGCGATTGGACATGCTAGTTGATTCAACCGCTAGGTTTTTGGTGCAATGCATGTATGATCGAGTGTTTCATCTATGAGCTATGGCAAGAAATTGGCATCTTGAATGCTGACTTTAACACAAGAAAACCATTGCACAGAGTTTATTTCCGCACAAAATCTGTTTATGGGCTGGCTTTTATGCGAATACCGTCACGCTTAAGGTGTGATAAAAAAAAACTTTGCAGGAAAGCCAAGGCACCATAAAAAAGTAAATACGGAGGGGGGGGGAGGGGGGGGAGGGGGGGAGGGGGGGAGGGGAAGCCGTTAGCTCTCCGTGCAGGTCGGTGCCGTGACGTCACTTCGCCGCACTCTGATTGGAGGATGGCTCCTTGCGGGAGGTGTATTTCTAGCGCGTTTCGTCGACAACTTTCGTTTGTCGACGAAATGTCGTAAATATTGCCAATGCCTCAACAAAACAAAATGTTGAAAAAAAAAAGAAAGAGAACACACATTGGGGATTGAACTTGTGTCTGCTTGCGTTTGAGGCAAACATCTTACTCTGGGCTACGCCTATCCACTTTGGAAACCTTTTGAAACCGCTGCTTTTGTTGACCACAGCAACGTCTCTCTCCACGAGCCAGCCAATCAGGCGCGAGCGCAGTTGCTAGGGTGTGTATCGCCCGCACGTTAACAATATGCAGCGCGCATAAATCCACTGCTTGTTTGTGAACGAGGACGCGGCATACGAAAAAAAGAGACCGGAAATACGTCGAAGTGTACGTTACTTCGTTTGATGCAAAAGGATTTACCCTGGGAGCATACGAAGCACCAATATGCGTCCCAGTCTACGGCGGTCGCATGTTGACATGAGCCCCTCTAACGTAAACACGGTAATGTGCGACGCGAGTGAGCCTTTCTGCTTGTTGACGGAGACCCCTTTCCGCTAGCAAGTGTATCGGTGTCTCCGTAAAGTATCAAAGTATAGCTACAGCCTTCGGAGAGCTAGACGGGGTGCCGAGCTTTCAAAGGCCGTTCTCCCGCAGCACTGGCACCTGGAGAAGCGCGCCATGGCACTCGCTGGGGTGAGTTACGTCGTCTTTGATACGCTTGTATCTTGAAGGCATAGGCAACTGTTAGCGCTTCTGCCACCACGAAATAACCAAGAATGTGAAACGCGCGGGATTATATTCCTGTATTTGAGTCGCGTGGTGTCCTCGTATGACGCCTGTCACACACGGTAAAAATTGTGTAAATCACATTCTTGAAGCGGCAAGCACGAGTGTAAGCTACTGTACGTACAAACTTTAGTATGGAGGCACAATACAAATACTGCGAAGAAAAATAATCAAGGTATGAAGAGCCAGTTACAATTGACCCTTTAAGAGCTTTTAGACTTTTAGAAAATGTGAGTGGCTCAAGCCATTGAGTGTAGCTCAAGCATATAGTTGTTTAAAATTTTTAAACAATTAATTTGGCTGAAATGCTATATATAACATGTGATGAATAAATGAATACTTCATTTATATTTTCGTTTTCTTGCTTGCTAAAATTATATTAACGTACGCCGTCGACAGTTTCAACGCTTGCGTTGTTGGTTGATACAAACCAGATAAACTAATGATAGCCGAAAATACCGAACCTCGGTTGACAACACTGGTAGACTTTCAATGTTGGCACGCTTTAGCGTTGTTACCCTGTTTGCCATTTTCACCGTCTTTTACCGTCATCCGTCGTTGCCGCAGCATGAGTACTGACAAGTTCGCGGTCTTCTTGTTTGATGATGGTGCTCTTGCTCTGAAGTCTGTTGAATTAATTTGAATTACGATTCTGCCGTTCACTCCGAGTCAAATGACCAAAATACAAAGAGGTGGCTAAAAAAAATTGGGTAAAGGTTGATTGGCGAGACGTGACAAGGCCGGCAGAGCCACCGGAACGTCAAAGGTGTATGCTGCTCAAGTGGTACAATTTGAAGGTATGTACGGTCGGCGTGGACAAGCTAAAATCCCTTTCAAAAAATTCATGCTTCGCATCTCTTAAGGTGCATTCTCACACAAGCATTTCATTGACTAACAGTGCTAAAACCAAGCCCTCCATCGCTTACGACCGGCGCGTGCCTACGCAGATGGCCGTAAGCAGTCATAAGATGCTTAAAATTTGGTCTTTAGTGCGATTGAGGACAGTCAAATGCTAGTGCGTGAACGGGCCTTTACAGGTACTGCCAGTCATTGTTTTCGAACGCGAGAAGCACGTGCCACAAGCGAGTATGCCGCCATTCGCTCCCAAAGGCCGTTTATTTCACTGTGGCACTGCCATTTGGTTCCAAGGACCCCACGAGAGACAGGCCTCGCGCAATGGTGCATTTGACGCGACTTGCAAGACGGACGTAAGTGCATTGTAAGCTATTGGGCAACACCTCCTAGATAAGAACGCCTTTGTGCTTTCCTGCATCATGAGCGAAGGCCACTGCAGGGCACAAATTGAACACGAGAGCTTCGTCAGCATTTGCCCTGGAACTCGTGTTCTATCAGTGAGAACACTAGTTCCAGGAAGATGCTGACACAGCTCTCGTGTTCAACCCGAGCCCTGCAGTGGCCTTCGCTCGTGACACAGGAAAGCACTAAGGTCTTCTTATCTTGGAGATGTTGCTTTAGGCCAAGCTGCAGTGCTGCGCCCGCTCAAGGCGCTGGCTACTTCATCACCAGCTAGACTTGTGCATTGATTTGCATTTTACTTGCAATAGACCAACAAATGGTGTATTTAAAAAAGTCAGCTTGACCAATGTTTGACCAGCTTTAATCATTGTTCCTTGTGCTTATTAGCAACCCGGGATGACCTGGTGGGCCTCTACGAAGAAATGCTCGCAACGAGAGGAGAGGAGGGACACCATCCACTAAGCAAGCTGTGGTAAGGAACAAAATTTGACAGACTGCACTGATATATTCTGTTCACCCCTAAGCTGAGATTGCTGTGGGAGCTACTGGCTCACCGGACCAATCAGTCGCCTCCCTTTGATCACCTGACCCGGCTCTCTGCACGTGGGTATGGCCGAGAGCAGGCACGGACCTACCGAATGGCAGAGTAGGCGGCCGCCTAGGGCGAAAGAGTTTTGGGGGCAGCCACAAATTGGCTGCCTCCAATTTGGCGGGGGCGGGAGGGGGGGGCACTGTTAAAGTGCTAAAATGTTAACTCCGTCTCTCGGCGAGGGCGTGATGACGTCCCTAAAGAGAGGCGCATGACTGGTCCAATGAGGACTAAGCTTCCACCACAGTCTCAGCTTGCAGGTGAACAAACTGTAGCCGTAACTTCTCTTGTAAGTTGTTTTTCTTTTGCCTCAAATAAATGCAAGAATGCAAGATTGCAGTCGGTTTTATCATGCAAACAACAGGGGTAATTACTGTAGTATTTAGGTGTCTCAAAGCATTTGATATTAACATGGCATGGGAAAAGGAGTGCCGACTGCTTCAGACTCCTATTTAATGGTCTAGACTACGAGAGCCTCATAGCTTGCACTCATTGGGCGATTTTTTTAGGAAAGTAGGTTCCCAGCCCTTTTGAAATGCCTCAGGAAGAATGAAATCCACAAGTCCTAAAAGCAGTGTATTTAGGACTCACTGGCATGCTGTAAAAACTAAGCGGGTGTAAACACGGAAGATGGCGGCTACAGTAGTGAAAGCAAATCTAATGTTCCATACTGGGGCAACATAACCTAAGCCCTGCACCCAACTCGTTCTGCCCCGTAAACCAGACAAGGTGGCACTGTTTCTGTGGCAATTCCTACCAAAGGTAGATCAGCGCGTCAAATCAAGACGGGGACACAGTGAGTGCCTAGAAGTTTAGGCTTAAACATACCTTGATGGTAGGCAGTGCCCTCCCTTGAGGGAGGGCACTGTCGGCAATATCTTTCCCCAGCTCCTAGGCTGGCAGCCGGCAAAATATTCATTTCATTTTGTTTTTACTATAGCACTTCAACTTTTAGTCGGCAGCGTGGTACATTTGTGCAACACCACATAGGTAACAAGGCCATAGTGGGTATTCCACAAGAGATCGAACCAGCAGGTCCACTCAATATTTTTATTTTTTTCTGTTTTTTTTTTATATGTGATGTGCACTCAAATGAATCGCACGAAACTGAACCTTTTGTCTCGAAACCGCATTTTCACTATGAGAAAAAAAAATGTCTCAAGATTATGCGACGACCCCGCTCCCACCGCGGACTGCATTAGGTGCCAACTTTGCGGTCCTGTGGAATGCAGGCTAAGAATGTTAAGCCAAAAATGTTTCCTGATTCATGTAACACAAAAAATTTTAAGTCAACTGCATGCAAATATAGTGTGCCTTATGAACTATAAAAAATATATAAAAAATTTTAGCTTTAGACCAGGTGCAACAAACACACTAACTTTCAGGCCTTCTGCCTCAATATGAATTACATTAACGAGTTCAAAAGATCCACATATTATAGGCCAAGGCATCTAAATTATTCGTGAAAAATATGAGCTTCCGATAGAAATATAAACATAACAAAATAATATTTTGAAAAAACACATTTTCGAAGAATACCCATATTGAAAAAACAAAATAAAAAAACCTGGTCTCGATTTCATTAAAACTCTGGGTACAACTCTCCTTAGGCCAGGCAAAAAGAAAGTGCAAAAACATGTTGCATCATTTGCTAGGTACGAAAACTGTAACCGGTCAAAGTGGCGGTTGCAAAGCGTCTTGACTCCGGCGTTTTTCATTTCTCCTTGCTGCTTCCTTTCTTTTTTTTTTTTTTTCTAAAAAAAATTTTTTTTTTTTTTTTTTTTTTTGTTACAAGAAAGAAAATTTGTGTTGTAGCTTGCTGTCAGAGAAGATATCTTTCCAGATTTTCTTTTGCTTGTGGCTGTCTACGGGCACTCATGAAAGTTTACGCTCATGCGTGCAAGGTTCTAGTGGAGAACCAGCATATCACACTTCTGTGTTCACATCAGTTTTGTAGCTGCCCCGGGCACTTGCGAAGAACATACAAACACGAAACTAGTGATGGGACGAATCACCGGAGATTCGGATTTGGACAGATTGGGAAATTCCCGAACTTTCCGCAACGAATATTCGTCAGATTCGGAGATTCGTCAGGTTCGTCGCTAGCTGCAGACGGCAGCGTGAACCTTGTCGTAAACCTTGCGAATGCGGTCAGTTGTGTTTCTTTTAGGTACTGTTACTGCATATAACCAGATTCCGTCTTGTTTACCTCAATGTATGGTATGTACTGTACTGTTATTCTAAACCCTGGCATGCGCCCAGGTCCAGCTGAGCTGATCGGTGTGGTTGGCGCAGGCCTGACCAATGCAAGGTCTCGGTTTCTGCGCAGTTTCGTGGTGATCGGTAAAATAAACGCAGTGCCTATTCTGTGGACCAGACCACAGGATAATATTCGGCTTTATTCTGTGGACCAGACCACAGGATAAACTTCGGCTTTATTCTGTGGACCAGACCACGGGTTAACCTTCGGCTTTATTCTGTGAACCAGACTGCAGGAGATAAGGTTCGCGGTACAGTAGGTCATGCTAACTTAGCTCAGCTCATTTTTAATGGTTCTGGCTATAAATCAAACTTTCAGTTAAAGGTGGCTACTTTTCTGGCTCCTTTTGGCAATTTTCTGAGGAATTTTCTTTCAAAAACCTGGCAACCCTGGAAGGCTCGCTGGTTGTCACGGCTCTGTCGGCTTCGTGTTGCACTCTGTTCACTGTCTGGTGCACGTGGTTTTATGTCCTGTTGCAATGAAAGTTGGAGAAAAGTTTTCATCATGTGGTGAGCTCCAGTCGGCAATAGCCGATTACGAGTGCGCAGTTTTTGCCGAATTTTGGATTAGCAAGTCACGAACCATTCATGCTGCCAGGAAGAAAGGCATTGCATGTCCTATTGACGAGAAACTGGCCTACTACAGCTTGACCTATAGCTGTAAACACGGCGGAAGAGCGCACAAGTCGGAATCAACTGGCGCCCGTTAAACGTGAGCTACTAGTTATTGTGCATACAAATTTGTAATTAGCTTTACCGAGGTTTTTACGAATCTAAGTCACAATTACAGGAAGGTATCTTGAGAAAGGGCATGGCGTTTGAAGGTCCTTCTATATCACGGGGGTAAGATGGCAATTAACAGATCCTTGTCATCTGTTTTGTACAGGACATACAAGATCGACTGCCCGGCCCACATTTCCTTCCTTGCCACCAAAGATGGGAAATGCTTGGAAGCTACTGAAGTGGTTGACGAACACAACCACACGTTGAGTGAGGTATGTTCATGACACTGCACCAGTTTTCATGATGGGAAAGGCGCAGAATTGACGACAACCAAGAACGGAAAACACAGGATTGCGCGCTGTGTCTTCTATTCTCTGTTGTCGTCAATGCCGCGTCTATTCTACCATGAATCAACACCACCTCGCCCAACTTATTGGCAACTTAGCTACGGAATGTGAGAGAGAACTGATTAAAGCCTATCGAATGCGAGAACACGGTCAAAATCACTGTGTGAGTGTATTCTCACTATCGCTATTGGGGGAAGGGGTGCCTTAATTAGAAAAATATGGTTAGTTGGAACATGTGATCCAGTGCTGCTTTTATGTTAGTATGGCACATGAACACATGGTTTTCCTTTGCCCACTGTGACTCTGGTGGTAGTCCCAGCATGTGTGGTGTCGTGCAATTCTTCTCCTCTTGTGTATGCGTCTTTGGAGGCTGGGTTTTGTCATTTTCAACTAACAAAACATATATTGTACAATATTCTAAAAGCAGTAAAACAATGAAAAAGAATGAAAAGAAATGCAATAAATAAAATGTGCTGCATTTTATTGCATACTAAATAATGCATGTGTGCAAGCATTATTATGTAGTACCAACACAGGTGTGCTGGAGTCGGGAACTCAATGTCAAGGCAAATTCATGCAGCAATAGGTGTGTTCCTTAATTCTTCCTTGTTCCTTGCAAAAGTGGTATCAGCACCTTCCACGCCAAAGGCGGCTAAATGAAGAGGAGAAAGATGAAGCCAAAAAAGTCCTCGCACTCAAAGCGAATAAGAAATGCGTACAAGGTTACTTTTTCAGCGGCAGGAAGAAGGTGCTCCTGCGTGACCTTCATAATTTAACAACTATGAAGGAGGATAGTGTTAAAGGGTCAACGCTTGACTCCACTGCTTCACGCGTGCAGGAATCTGGTGGCACTATGGACATACTTGTAGACAGTGATGACGTACTGGTTGGCCTTTTCTACCAGGACAGCGACATGAAAAGGGCAAATGAGAATTTTCCTGAGGTTGTTTTTGTTGATGCAAACACAAGGCAAACGACAAACGGATGCCATTGTATGTGGTCCTTGTAGAAGATTCTAATGGTGAGAGCGAAGTAGTGGCTCTGATATTGTGTGCACGTGAAGACGAGGCAACTGTACAAGCATTGTTTTCAAGATTCAGCACAAACTGTGGGTCAACCACTGGCACAAAAGTGGTAATGACTGATAAAGATTTCGTCGAAAAAAAGGTCTTGAAGACTGTGTTTGACTGTGCAGTCAATGCCATATGCTTGTTTCATGTCCTGCGCACATTTAAAAGAGAAGTAACCACAGAGAGGATGGGCATCGATTCTCGTATGAGAATGCTCATTCTAATATTGCAGAAATTGTGCTACTCACAAAAAGTAGCACAATACCAAGAGACCTATAAAGACTTACAGGACACGAGTTGCACCAAGATGCTTGAATATTTTGACAGGAATTGGCACCCAATACACAGTGAATGGGTAGAAGGCCTCAAACACCAAGCCACAACCTTCGGAAATTCCACAAACAACCAATGTCTGGGACCGCCACTGGGTAACATGATATAGGAAGTAGAGCACGGCAGAACCTGAACCTGTGAGGCGCGCCAATTGATCCACCGCCGTGGAGGGCCGCACAACGCGTAGAAGATAAAGATACATAAAAAAAAGGAGAAAGAATTGTGATTGAATGAGATTGTCTGTAACTTAATTAATAAGACAACAGTTTGGAGAATCGTGAAATCCAATGTGGGTATGCTCATGTGACCTACATAAGTGATGGTGCAGCAAGCCACTTTAAGAACAAATACGAACTACACGAGCTCCAGAGCCAGAAATACACGTCAGCGAGGTATATTTTTTCTGCAACTTGACATGGCAAGAGTGCCTGGTAACTGAATCGGGGGTCGTGTCAAGCACCAGACAACGTTGTGCAGCCTCCCACGGCCCGCCAAGTCATGATCAAGTCGGCGCCAGAGATGGTTACCCCACCAAACACTAAACTGCCGAACGTGAAACTAATCGAAAGCAAAGGACTGGGACACTGTCTATGTTGTGCGTGGAATTGAGCCCTGTCACTTTTTCGCAAAGACAAACATCTTTTTCCGAAAACAAGGATTGGTTTTATTCTTCTGGGCATAAAGCCAGCAAAACATGTTTTTTTCATCAAAATAAAAATGGTCACCGGACATGGTTGTTCGATCTTACCTGAAAATGCCCTGTTGCGTACCGTTCTGCAAGTCAGAACGGGGCAAGGCAGTGGGAGTCAGCTTTGATGAATTTCCCACCACAAGGATCCGGGACGAGTAAATAAAGGCCGTCAGTCGCAAAGGTAAATATTATTCAGTTTGAGTAGTTCACTAGACAACACCTATTTTCCAATCAAATTAACATAAAACCACGCTTAGAACTAACCTTGGTTCACAAAATTTATGCTAAATATTTATCAACCCCTCAGTGCCATAAACCCTTGAGTTTTTAGGAAATTTCAAGTGAACTCTAAAAGAGTTGTGGCTATATTTTTTGCCCAGGCTGAACGAAAATGTACATTAATTTGCATGATGCCTCTTTTAGGGGCCTCTGATGGAAACACTCTCAGTTCAGGAAATTTTTATCAAAAGAATGAGGCAAAAGTAAGTCGTTCACCAAATATTTGCGTCCGCGCGGGGAGCTCAGCCTTCGTTCTGCTCCCAAACACTACAGCTGAGCTGTGGCGCCATCTAATAAAATCGCGCGAAACTAGGTATGCCGCATCCGGGGACAGCGCTCCCCGTAGGCGCGCTCCGGGTGAAGTGGCCGAACGTAATAAAGTTGGTCGTGGCCTACCGTACCGCAAGACTTATTGCCCGCCGTCCGGTCCTGTAGCCTGGTCCACAGAATAAAGCTGAAGTTTATCTTGCAGTCTGATCCGCAGAATAAAGTTGAAGTTTATCCTGTCGTCTGGTATACAGAATAAAGCCGAAGTTTATTCTGCGGTCTGGTCCACAGAACAAAGCCGAACACAATCCTGTGGTCTGGTCCACAGAATAGGCACTGCGTGAAATAAAATGTAGCGAAATGCTGTGTATTATACATTATCTGGGGCAACGCGCAATAAATATATTCAGGCAAGGAAGTGATTCGTCTCATTAAGCTGCGTAAGACGCGAGAGGGATGAAAAGTGTTGCTCATCCAAACTTCAACGGGTACCGGCACCGGCGAAGAAAAACGTCGCACTGTGGTTTCTCCGTTCTCGGCAGCAATTTTATATACGTGAACCTTATTTAATGAAAAAGAAACAACACAGGGGTGTCCAATGCAACTTCATTGTTCAGAAACAAACACTAACTAATTCAGATATCATTAACCAGAAAGGTACAAATGTAGTACAGGAGACTGTAATAGTACGGTGCAAGGAGTTTGAGATTGTTTCCCATGTTCCCATAACAATACCACAGTGGACACATGTTGAAGATAATCGAATCGAACATACTGTACTCACTTGTGCGGGGTGTGCTACTATGACCGTAGTTATGAGCACGAAATGTATTTCTGCCGAACAGCACGTACGGCATCAATCTCTTGCGGGGGGGAGTGCTGAAAACCTCGGACGAGCATGGTCGGGGTCTCCGGGAACCCCAGAGTATGAGAAAGTGATCTTCGCTTAAACATTGCCTCGTTCCATCGATGCGCCGCTGCACCGGCTGCACGTCCGCCGAATCTTGCCAGGCTGGGGCGGCCACACCAAGCCTGACGAAATCTACGAGGAACTTATCGCGCTTGCGTTTCGCCGCAAGGGCAGACGCGGTGGTCACTGCCATCATCACAGTGACTGCTATGACCCCGTCGACAACACCGGAGGTTCCTGGTGCCCAAGAAACTCTCGTCAACCCGCCCACAGTGAGCCCACCTGCACCACAAGAGACTGTTGCCGAACCGCCGGGGAGATGAAAACATGCGCTCGTATTTCCATGTGTACCAAGCATGCCTAGTTTGGTTGTCATCCGGAACCGAAACCAATTTTCCCGCGATGTCTGGTTACCATTCTCGACAAACATCCGAAATAGTATAAACAGAGCGGAACATTTTACCTATTAATATGATAATATATTACAAAAATATTTTGTGCGCTTTTTAGAATTTAGTGAATTTAATATCGCGAAAAGTTGAAACACTTATTAATGTTATCTGGCAACCATGGCAACGCTCCGAATTTTTCCGAACTTTTCTGAATCTCTTGAGATTCGGCTACTCTTCCGAATCTTTCCGAATCTTCCGATTCGGCTCCAAATCTCGATTCAGATAAAGATTCGTCCGATCATCACTACACGAAACAATGATTCCTGTTTCGGCGCGTGCCGTAAGCGAAATAAGAGCTCCTACTCGGTGAACCACTGCAGTGTGTGTTTGGAAAAAAAGAAGGGGGAGGGGTGCGGAGGAGGCTGGGCAAGGCAGGACTTCTTGAACTTGACTGCGCTTGGACTTCACATGTCTCGTTTATTAGAACTGTAGATAATAAAAGAATGTCGCTTCGGGTACAAGGGTACGGGACGCTTATGCTACGGCAGAGCCAAGGAGGAGGTTTACGTTTGCCGCGCGGTATAGGCCTCTCGTCTCCAGCCACCTAATAGGCATATCCGGTACGGGCGACGAAAAAATACAAAAACGTTTCAACCTGTAAATAGTAAAAAAATAAAGGGGAGGCAAAAAGATAATGTGTGACAGTTACACTTATATCCGAAGTGTCTTCTACTGGCATAGCGACGGCAAAACAATGTTTTCGCCCCTACTGGAAGTGACGACAATTGAAGATGGTGGCGCCCTTGAAGAAAGGGTCTATACGTGGTTCGTGGTCGCTCTCCCTGTCAGGAGCTGGTAAGATATTCGAGCTCGCGTTTACCGCTGGGTAAACATACACATCCTCCTTGGCTCCACTGTTACATAAGCAAACCATACTTCTGTACCTGAGACGTCGCTCCTCTATTCTCTACAGTTCTACTAAACGAGACTCGAGCAGTCTTCAGCCTGACTCCAGCACAAACGTTTATGCGCTTCCTTATTTGCGTCTACAAAAGTAACAGCTACCTAAAGATGACGGCTCGTCAACGCTTCCCATTGAAGGAAATTTCGAGAATCCACCGAGCTTTGAGCGCATCAAGGTGGATTACTGTGACAGTTCATCTAGGTTTTTTTGAATGTGCGGTGGCAAATTGATGTCTTCGCGGCAGTGATATCATCTGGACAGCTGTGTGTTTGTGCGTGTGTGCACAGGAACGGCACAGAGGCGGAGCTTCACTTCACATGAACTTTGACTCTGCCAGGTGGGCGGCCACCAGCGCTGGTCGTCAGCGGGGAACTCCTCGGTCGCAATAGCATTGCGAAACCTTTGGGTTTCAGTTGGTTTGGCAGCGCAGTTGAAGCAACGGAAGAAGGAACAGACATCGCCGTTGTGCACGCAATGTACGCAGCTCATAGCTTACTCAGAGCTTTTGCGCCGATTACCTCAGCGTTCACAAGAAGAAGATACAATCCAAGAGAAATTTTCACAGTGTCAAGCTCCTAGATGTTGAATCACTGCAGAAGCTGCTACCAGGATGGGGTAATTTGAAGAATACAGACCAGGTCTGCCAGCACTGCTTTCGGCGCCTTAAGGCGCTCGTCCTACCTTCATCTACCGCCACACCCAAAAAAATGAATGAGACACTTCTTCAGGAAGAAGAGCTAATATCCTTATCTGCCGGCACAACTGAAGAAACCGACGAGACATTTCTTCACGAAGAAGCAGTGAGTGACCTCACCAGGTACGTCAAACTTTCCAAAGTTTCTTCGTTGAAGCCAGCATCTTCCATTCGGAAACGGCTCAGAAAATCTTATGGAGAGAGAAAACAGGGAGAGATTGTAAAGGAAGTGTTGACAAAATTACGCTCAAGTTTAAGTACCACCTATGGAAGCACCAGTACCCCTGGACAGACAGAGGAGGAATGTGGCATATGCACTGGTTGGATAAGGAATTTTAAACAAGCTAATGAGGCTTCAACATCCTACCAAGAGCGTCTTCGTCTCTTAACCTTACTTCCACCTGAACTACCTAGGAAACAACTTCAGGAGGCAGTTCCAGCTGTCACAAAATACATGCTA